CACAACTGAGGTTATTCAAAGTGAAATGGAAATTCAAACTTTGATGCACAAGACTAAAATGTTTAACAATTTTCTGAATAGGATACAAAATGAGGATACAACTGATGAAAGCATCTTTTTGGAATTTTAATTCAAAATCTGAAAGTGCCCTTTTTCAAAACATTACAAAGCAGCTTACCAGTTTTCTTTTCTAGTTTCATCACTGCTCGCAGCATGCTCTCTAAATCGTGCATCCGGGCTCTGAATTACAATGATTTGGGACATAAATTAACTAAATGCAAACTTTTTCGTAAAACAAAAATAAGATCATTGCAATATACTAGAATTATCGTGCTTGCTTGCTTATAGCACAATCAAGAGCTTTTGGGCTTTTGAGTTCTTTACTTATGTGTTCTGTTTTGCTTTGGAAGCTTTCGTGCTTGTCTTATTACACACATTGTTTTCTAACTTCTCCTCAGAATTCGTCTTTGTCCTCAGTTTTTTGGACTTAAAATATCTGGCAGTTCTCCCTTTACCTAAAAATGAAATGCACTTTATCAGCTCGCTTGTTTGTAAACTTTACTCGTTGCTTACTTCCACTGATAATCCCAAGAAAAAAACATTTTTAAGTCTTGAAAAGAAGTTACTCGAGATTTCACTTACTTCAGAATTTCATTGATCGGATGGACGTGGGACATACCCCAATAGTCGTTTCCCCCTGTTTGTTCAATATTAACGATACAGTTTGGTGTCCTTTTGGCTTCTCCGGTCAATCCGCTCTGTAACTTCGACCTGTGACTGCTATTCATCACATATGTACTTTCAAAGAAGTTTACATCATTAAAACGTTTAATTTAAGAGCACTAAGGATTTATTTTGTAACCACTCACCTTCCAATGTTTGTGCACATCGTGATTTCTTGGCTTATCAGGTAGATTGTCGAGATCCCATACTCCTTTCCTCATCAACAGATGATTAGTCAGTTTAGGTACAATTACATCCAAGTTGTAGTCATGCCCTTTTAGCCAGCGGAGGAGGTTAAAGTCAGTGTCATAATAGGGTGTCAGCTGAAATATAAACAGCTGATTTATTGTCATTTAAGGTCATTTTGTAGGTGGGACTATCTGGGTATTGAAAGGTAAATATTGTTGATTAACTTATTGGAACATGAGCTGCTTATTAATTAGTGTATCAAGCGTTGACCATAATTGAATTTTCATTTGGCTTATGTCTTTGGAAAAATTACTCCAACCTTATAAATTCACGTCAGTCTTCCAATCTTGATCAAGGACATCAATATATAAGGTAGATTTATGCTTTACAAACTCCCAAAAATAAAAGTAACGACTTTCTTACTTAGTTGAATAACCTTTGTCTTGAATCTCTCCTGATCTGAATCTTATGAAGGTCTGTGAATGCATATGTTAATTGATGCAATCTTAAAAACAAACTCAAACTTAACATACGTGTTCTTTGACTAAACCTCTGAGTTCTTCAATCTTGAGTCGATCCGCCTCAGAAATGGGCATCCTGCAACATCAAATGCACCTGATACTACATTTTAATTAGTTTAAGAGCGAACAAATAGGTGTTGGCAGCGCCAAATATTAGCAGTTGTATTTCATAAAAGTAAAATCTCCTATAATGTCAGCGATCGGGCAATTAGAGATGAATCAGCGTTGGATTTTAAGACTTCAAGAAAATTCAGTCATATGAGGAGATAGAGAATCAGAACGTGTATGCAACCGTACAGGCCACATGAAGGTTTGTTCAACACTGCAGTTTTTATGAAGATGTAGCCAATAGATATACATATACATAATTAGATGACCTATAAAAGTATGAGTGTTCGAAAAAGCAGTGG